ATACAACACGAGCTCTTTAAGTCAGTCACTGGCTATGATCCATAGCTGAGCATAGTTCATGAAGCGTGTACACACCGATTTTTTACACCGCCTGTCTCCCGCGATATTGATTTGAGCGTTGAGGTTTGCATAGATTTCTGTGTTGAGTTCAGTGTGATATACACCTCCGTTGCGAAATGGCAGTTGACTATTGTTTCGCACCTGATCCTAGTCGAATCATTCTACGTTGCACTCGTATTGTGTTCGACCATAACATTGTTGGATCGTGAGAATTGAAACACAACATGATAAGGGCATTTAAAATGGTATATCTGGTTATAGCTATGTCAATCATCTGCTGAAGACTAGTGAACTGATATTGGTGAGTCATGCTCTGTGAGAGTAGCTCGCCTCGTCCGATCATCACCAGCCTTTTTGATCGACAGCTATTTAATGAGTGCCTCTATTTTTCCCCCGCGGCGTTGCGATGTCACCAGCATTGCGAGAAGCTTTACTATTGATGTTGATGATATTATCAATGCCCGTAGACTGAAACGACCTGTTGAACCATCGTATCCAATATGAATACTTGGGGGACAACTCTCCTATATCATGTAAGTGAACGAGGACTGATGTTGCCTCGTGCCACTGTGCCCACCATAGATCAAAACTCTCGTCGTTCTCATTTAAGTGTTGGAACGACCACTTGATTAACATCAATAGGCCCCATAATAGCCTTGCGGGCTCTACATGACAGACAATACCAAGGATCATCGCTAGTGGCAGCGCCGTTTTGGACACCAGTGGTGTCACACCACTACATAAACAGTGATACCATTTTCGACACCCATCACATTGAATCATAGCCCCACGGACTGCATCTAGATCATCGCCAGGTAAAAGACAAATAGCACAATAGACTTCATCCACGCTCTCACATGGTAGGAAATGCCGCCGGCACTATGCCGGTACAGTAACCTTACTGCAGTTTCAGCCATAATGCAAAAACAACACGGACTAATAGACTAATAGCCTCATCGAAAGCTAATACTATTAAGGAGCTATCAGGAATTACGTAATGTCAGAAAAATTTGAAACATTTATGGGCGAGCGCATTCGAGACAGATGTCCAAAGGTAATCGGTGCCACATTCCGACACATTGTAGTCCAGATTACTAAATGTTGTCCAAACATGTCCAATTGATCAAAAAGCTGTCCAGAGGTCGCTACAGGCGTAATTGGACAACTTCTTGATGAAAAAAAATATTCGACAACTTCATGTCCAAACTACTCACTAGGGTAGTTTTTCGACAAACTGTCCAAACTTAGTCTTGAGATTCGTTTTGACACCCTCGCTGTCAAAGGGCTTTCGACACTTTATGTCCAAAGTTGATGTG